GAAGAAAGGTTTTTGTTCGAGGTATTGACGATTTGTGGCAAGTCGACTTGATAGAAATGATACCTTACTCAAAAGCGAATAAAGGGAAAAAGTATATCCTAATGATAATTGATGTTCTTTCAAAGTATGCATGGGCGGTTCCTTTAGACAACAAAAAAGGGAAGACAGTGGCCTCAGCTATGGAAAATGTTTTGAAAAATAGCGGAAGAATACCACAAAACATTCAAAGTGATCTTGGTACAGATTTTTATAATAAAGAATTTAAATCCTTAATGCAACGTTTTGCGATAAATCATTTCAGTACATTCACCCATTTGAAGGCCTCTGTGGTAGAAAGGCTGAATAAAACGATTAAAAATTGGATGTATAAGGAATTTGCTGTACAGGGAGATTATAGGTGGCTAGACATGCTTCCTCGTTTAATTTCCATGTACAATTCAAGGCTACATCGGACAACAGGCATGAGACCACGAGATGTTACATCGTTTCACGAGAGGGCATTGGTGAGGAAATTAAATCAAAACAAGGTACAAGGGATTCCAAAGCTAAGAGTCAATGATAAAGTCAGGGTTTCTAAGTATAAAACTTTGTTTGAAAAAGGTTACACCCCAAACTGGAGTACTGAATTATTTAAAATCATACGAGTGCGAAAATCTGTCCCACCAGTGTACTACCTGCAAGATGAAGAAGGGGACATTATCAAAGGGGCATTTTACGAACCAGAATTACAAAAGACAAATTACCCAGATACGTATTTGGTTGGAAAGGTTATAAAGCGCAAAGGAAACAAGATTTATGTCAAATGGCTTGGGTTTCCCTCACGCTACAACTCGTGGGCTTAAATAGTATATTAACCTGTTTCTCCCATCATTCTGGATTAGATCTTGTTATTGTAAACATATATTGTACAAGCTATGATTAGAAGACACATTATAGATAAGTTTGGACATGCTTTGTATCAAGAACAGAAGCATCACTTATCTGATGACGAAGATGATGCATATGTGATAAGTGAAGATGGATCAAAGAGGTTTAGAGCTGCAGTGGAACCTGACGTATCACGACAAAAGGTGTCTAAAGGCTATTTAAATCGTTTCTATGTGAACAAAGACGATTTGAATGAGGTGGAAGGAAAGTTAAAGACCTTTGTTGTTAGCCTCAAAGAGGCCCAGCAAGCAGTTAAGGATGTAAAACAATCAATAGTCTCCATAGAGGGTTCTATCAAGACCGAGCTAAAAGACATAAAGGAGAATCAGTTATCCTATCACGATAGACTAAACAACTTAGAAGAATCAGATGGGAAATCATCACAATTAATTGCTTCCTTGGATAACAAACTAATAATGCTGTTTGAATCAGACGAGAAAACGTCTGCATCTTTATTATCTTTGGATGATAAGCTCAAGAAGCTGAAAGACTCGGATGAGAAAACGTCTACACATTTGTTATCTTTGGATAGAAATGTCAAAAAGCTGTTTGAATCAGATGAGAAAACGTCTGCATCTTTAGTATCTTTGGGTGATAAGCTCAATAAGCTACAAGACTCGGATGAGAAAGTTTCTACATCTTTGATGTCTTTGGATAAAAGATTCAAGAAGCTACATGATTCAGACGGGAAACAATCTAAATCGCTAGTATCCTTAGATGAAGAGGTAAAGAAGCTGCAGGAATCAGATGAGAAAACATCAAAATTATTAAGGACCATTGATGAAAGGCTAAACACGTTGGATAAATCAGATGCCGAAACTTTAAAATTTTTTGCAACTATTGATAGAAAGCTCACTGCATTACTTACGACAACAGGATTATCTATCTCTTAAAATTTCTAGCATGTATAAATAAATGGAAACCTGTCTAGACTTGTTGTCAAAGCCTTCTTTATACAACAACGTTATGTAATCGCAAAAAAGAAAGAGATCCAAGAGGTTCAATGGATTTGTCCTTGGCGCTCAGCATCCGCCTCGTAAGGTCAATGATCGTACTAAGACCTGTCCAGACCTGCAAATACACTGCATATAAAACCTAGAACTGGTTTGCTGGTTCAGTCAGTATGAACGCGTCAGTGAAGCGGTCGGCACCAGTTCCACGTAAAGATCTATCGCGAGTGAAACGCAAACGTACTAAAGCTCCCCCTATACCCCCAGTGCATAACGTAATATACTCCGATGTAAATACTATGGACATTGACCAGCTTCTTGCATCTCTAACTGGTGAGACTCTACAAGACGTATCTGATTCTGTACACACAACAGCAGGTGCGGTCCAAGCGAATTACTATACCCGCGAGTGTTCAACAGTTTGCAGTGAAAATGGTAATGCAGTGGAAGAGGATGAGGATTACGATTCAAAGGAAGTGGAAGAGTATCGACCGGAACAGCCGTCAATCGTACAACAGAAAATACCAGCCCACTCCAATTCGGCAAAATCTGGCACACGCGCCAGGTCGAGCCAGGTTTTTCGTCAGAAAGGTCATCAAGAAAAACTTCATGCCTCGATTTTGCCATCACTGTCATCACAACTGCCACCACCGCCGCCACCACCACCACCACCACCTCAACGTTCGCAACAACTATTATCAAATACATCAGCACCTAAGCTATCTACGTCGCCGACCACACTATCGACTTCACCTCCAGTGCCATACGTGTGTTCTTCTTCGACGTCTACTTCAACACCTGTCATGACAACATCTGTGGTGAGTCACTCTCATAGTTCACACAAAGCAGCTGTGCGTTCTAACCAGCAGTCTAACTCATGGGAACCACGTCTTTTACTCAGACAGATTTACAAAGTTGCAAGCCAGGCTCATGCGGTTGTTGGTCTTGATTCTATTAAAGACTTTTCTCCTTCTATTTGTTTAGTGAATAATGAAACCTCAATTGAATTGACATTTGAAGATCTTTTAAGTCTGCAAAGCTCTACAGTTCACCACTCTGTCAACAACTTTTACTCCAATGAAACTCCATTCAATCCATTCTATCTACATACAGTCATATTGGAACCCAGACCAAATGGATTAGTATCATTTTGTAACTATCGTCTGAGAAATAAGCCAGTTAATCACAATTTGAATTCTGTTACGCTTTCGAGAGCTTCTAGTGAATCTGATATTATTCGACAGACTCCCAGAGTGGTTCTACAAAATGATGGATGGATTTCTTTTAAACGCTTGTTCCCATCCCTTGAAAGCTACTTTAATATCCTACTTGAAATAAACCCAACTGTGCAGTTTCTGATCTCTCGTTACACACGATATTTTACCAAACACTATAAGGTAATGGCCTTGCTTTCTTCAAACACTACAAATGACTTGACTTCAATGACTTTGGATAAACAACTCGTTCGACACATTACAAGTGATTTGCCACGTTTACTTTCTGACTTGAATGAAAGGAGGTTGCCTGCAGAGACTCAAGATTTTTGGTATGAACGAACTGCACTCAGGACATCAATGATGCCGTGGATAGACAGTGAGGTACGCCGCTTTTGTGCAGCAAACATTACCGAAGCTGTGATGGAGAACTTAAAATACTTGTCAAAATGGTAAAGAGAAAATTGCTGTATTCAATGTATCTTATGGTAATATATTTGTATTACAAACTTTGATTTTCTTTATTTGTTTACCCTTTCCTTCAGCTAAGCTAGCAACAACACAGTAGAGGATTGACTTTACTTTTCTTAGCATCCATAGCAATAATACTATTTAAAGTAATTTTTCAGAGGGTGTTTGGAAAACTTTTAAATAATGGGTTTAGCAACAAACAAAGTAGTCAAGTTTAACATAAGTTTATTTGAAAGATAAATGCTATATAGATAACACCAACATAACAGGTAACCATAAACATTTTAGATGTGTTTATTATATACAACTCTAGCGTTACATAAATGTGTTAAGATTAGTAAACATGTAATAGTAAAACAAATACAGATCGAAAAAGGTTGTTAGTACATTACAAAATATTCATGAAATGTGCACAATAATATACATGTGTTAAATATCATAATGCTAAGCATTATCTTACTTTGTTATATCATGTTATTAAGTTATATTTTAGCTATATACTACTAGAATTCAGTTCTCAAGTAGATAAACAACTCTTATAGAGTATAGACAACAAAAAGGCATGAGTTCATCAAATTATTTTACAATAGCTAGGGTTTACAATAAAACATAATATATAAACAGAAACGCAAAAAACAAACACAGTAAACGTGAAATTGTATGGTTAAAAAAAAAACAAAACTTGACCAACAGCCTCATTGTTCAAATATGCTGGACTAGCGTATGTCACTCTCTATACGGATCATAAAGTTCTGTACGGTTAAACATTGTCACTGGAGATGCGGGGCTGTCTTCATCACTATCATGTAACATGTTGTTATTGTCTCTACAGTCAAAGTAGTTTAGAAATGTAAACAATGGTCGAAATACACAGTAGTCACACCAGTTATTTTCTTGTTTAACCACTGCATCAATTAGCCTGTTAGAGTTAACTTCAAAATGCTGTACAACATGTACAAATGCCAACCCCTTTTCGTGCCAATAACTTTGATAGTCAATATCATTATCGTCTTTTAGTGTAAAAAGGTTAAAAAAGCAGCCTCGACAATACTTCATAGGACGTTCTGTTTGTATTGTTTCATAGTAGTCCACATTTATATGACAATTATTACCATAGTAATTTCGACTCCAAAACTCTGGTTCCTCCAGAGGATGGTTCATGAGCATGACAAACTGATAACTATCAATTTGCATAAAGTCGATATCTCTAAACTCATAACTTTTTATTAAATCTCTGTTGACTGTTGTAGTTTTTATCCAAGTCCGTTTAATAGAGCTTCTCAACTCTGTGTGCATGAGGGAAGGGAGTATCGAAAACATTTCGATATCCTCGATTCTTTCGTATTCTTTTTCATATGGAATAGTACGGGCAACGGCATCCATACTCAATGAATACAACATTCTGACTACTCCTAAAGAGTGCTGATCAACCATCGAGCTAAGACTGACTACAATCATATTCTGACGATCCTCCATCGTCATTTTGACGAGCTCGATAATGCCCATACGCCAAAGTTCTAATTTTGTCCTGCAACACTATGCGTTTGTTATCATTGGCTGACAGAGAGAGTTTATCAACTGTTCTAGAGGTGAGTTGAAATGTCTTGCTTCTTATCTGGTTAAATGTCGCTCTGTACTGTTTATCTTCAAACAGTGCCTTCTTGTAGTGATCAAATGAAATTTTGTTTTCGACATAGCGTTTGCTTATTCCCTTACACTTTTTCTTTGCCGTTGTCTGTTGGCTGGAGTTGAACCTGTAGCAGTACATTTTACAACGCAATCCTACGTACTCAAATAGCTGTCTTCCTTTGCATTCATCCTTAAATGTGCCTATTTGAGGAATCGCTCCTTCCAGCCACAGCTCATGCTCCTTTGGATAGCATGACCTATCCAGTACATCTCCCAATCTTTCCTTCAATTCATTATTTAGGTTTAACTTGGTAATTATGGTATATAATAGAGAATCAGTATCAGAATAGTTAACATACACTTCAAAGTCTGGCGGAGCTAGTTTTTTCTTCATAACCATATAATGAAACCAGTTCATATGAACTTTTGCTTTGTCGAGAACTACTGAACCAACATAGACTGGCTTGTTTAATACTACCTTTTGTCTTCTTAAATGTACCGCGATCACACCATCAGCGATAATGCTTCTGTCAACAAATCTTGCTTGACGTGACAGCTTCTGGAACGCTTCATCAGAAGTTACTATTCTAATATCTACACGATTGCGCACGTTTTCTAACGTCTTTCCAAACACACTATTATTCATAAACTTGTAGAAATTTTTGGAAAACTCATTCGTAGATTCAGCTCTTAATGTGGTGTTTTTGTCGATGAACTTTTCCATCCACGGCGACTGGGAGAATCGCAACGCTCTGTGAACTTTTGTAATTTTCAAGCCTAATTTGACTGCCTGCTGGAACACTGTATAGTGAGCGATATAGTGTTTTTTATCTTCAAGCGTAGCAAGTAGTTTTCCCTGATTATCCACATCTTTTTGTTCTGGTAGAATGGGGAAGTCGTTCATTAGATCGTGCAAGTGCTCTGGCACTGTGACATCACATTCTAGTAAAAGTCCATACGGCGAATCTTCAGGTAAGTTTGACCAATTAAGATCATCAACATCATTTACAAACTCAAAATTTCCAGTTGGAAGGTGTTTTTTCATTTGGCTTCCATACAAGTTTATGCAGTCCAAATACAACATATATTTGGTTTCTTTGTTTGGATCATAGTCTTCGCTGTTCTCTAAAAGTGGGTTGTTGGCTTTTTCATAGCGGTGGCAGCATTGTACCAAACCGCCTCTAATCGCACTTTCAAACATTAAGAAATGGTCATAGTTCGTCAACAATTCCAAAGTTACACCAGTCATACGTAGCATACTCTGCCATGCTAGACCTGGCGCTGTAAATGAATGACAACAGTCAATGTTATATGTGGCTACACAGTTTTTGCGAAAGCATTGAATTATGTCCATTAAAAGACAAACATCCAATAACAGATAAAAATCATGGTATTGTCCAAAATTTTTCATTTTCATTGTATTCCAAGTGTGTTGGGCATGTTGATATTCTGCATCCGTAACTTCCGAGTCATTGAGGGCATTGTAAAAGCTTTCACGTGGTGGCAGTGCTTCCTCACTGAATACAGCAAAGTCTTTTACATAATCATAGGGATAAATCCCTTTTCTTTGAATCAACTCCACATGCTGTTCTGGCACAAGTTTGGACGACTCTACGAGTTCCGTCGGTGTGAGATACGAAGCGAGATTCGCAAGGCTGTCCGCCATTAGGCGAAATGAATCCAAAAACCTAAGCCACATCCTCCCAATCTTTATCGATATACTGATGAATCTTTCTGAATTACTAGGGATCACTTTTATTTCGCTGTTGGGTAATACTGCCAAGTTCTTAATAATGAATGCTTCGTCGTATGAAGAAAGGTTGTGAAAGTATATTGCTATGAAGTTTGGAAGTTGACAGCGGGTGTTACACAACGAGCACAAGGTATAACGAAACTGACCTGTTATATGGTCGTGGTCCCGGCATTTCCTTGACTGAACCAATGTCTCATCAAATGCTATTTCACACAGCTCGCAGTTTGTCGCTTCATCATGCTGTTTCTGTTGTTCATCATTTAATGCAATCATGCTCACATTTTTAGTGTACAGCTTTTCCACTTTTACAGCTAGCTCCTGCATTTGTAAAAGGAATTCTTTTGCAGCCGATTCCGATCTGTGTATGTAGGGTGAGGTGTTTATCTCAGCTTCCTCTAACAGCTCTTTGGGAAGGTTACTTGCTACGATATAAGCAAACGAGTTCGCCTCGTGCCGTTGATAGGCATTGTCTGTCGAGGGAACTGGATATAGTGTTGATTCGAAGTCAGCTGTGACTACAATTGGTACTTCAATTTGCATCTCGTAGCTAACAAATCTAAGTTTGCTTTTATGCTGCTCCGGCAAAATCACTTCACTTGGTTTTGATTTTCCACAGAGCATTAAATGTTCACTCAACCAGTGCTGAGGTGTCGAAACACAGCGCCTGTTTTCTTTAAAGGTGCTACACCTTTTACAGATTGTAATTTTGTTGCTGCCTTTTGTAATTTGTGGCTGCATAAGCTTTGTGAAATTCAATATTAACGTAAAATGAGCCTCTCCTTCATCATTTCTAACGAGAAGGAGATCAAAATGGTCTTGCTGCTCATCAACTATCCTGAGTGGTGTAATATGGGCATTTTCGTCCAGTTCGAAGATGTTTACGCTAGTGTTGATGTTTTGTTTTTCAAATTTTTTCATTTGTGAAATGGGCGTTGGAAATGAAATACCATCAAAGTTGTAATGTGTTTCACACTCCCTAAAGCTATGCTCAGTAAGCACTGAGTCATAACGTATATTAGGTAGACTTTTGGCTAATATACAATACATGAAACAACAATCATTGCTGTTTTTTACATTTAAAATGCATTTCCTTTTAGCAATTTTTGGGGGCAGTGGCAGATAGCCACTTCCAGCAGGCAATGCATATGAAAATTTGCTTAGTCTAAGTGTGAGGCTCTTTACCTCATGCAAAGTCCATCCACTGCCTTTCGCCTGCGCTTCAGACTCCTCACGAAGCAGTTTGCTGGCGTCCTTCTTCAGCAGCTCTTGTAGCTCATCACAGGCGCTGTGTATAAGCCTCGACGTGGTCTTGAAGTTCATAAGTTCGCAATGTCCTTCAGGATGGCAGTAGACGGCCTCCAGTACGACGTTGTACTTGAGGGATTTGGTGACACGCAGCTCATCTTGTAGTATATCGAGCACCACTTCGTTAGCAGCTTCAATAAATGGCGGTAGGTCCTTGTAGAGGTTTTCATTATTTTCTATAACATAGTCTTTGGCTGATTGAAGACCTTTTTTTAAATACCACGTCAGCCTTGTTGTTGAACTTGTATGTGATGATGGACTTGACAATACACTAGTCACAGGACGCTTAGTCACCTTTGGAGGTGGTAGTTTTCTTTTCAAGCCACTGCCACTGGGTACTGCTTTAATTTGCTGTGGAGGTGTCTGAATTGCTGCCTCGTGTGTCTCTCGTCTGTTGTCATTGTTGCTCGCTACTGCTGATGTGAAGTAGTCGTTCAACGCCAAACACATTTGCTGGTGACGGCTCCTTGCGGATGCACTAAGGAAGTAGGCTTCTCGACAGATGGCACATTGTAGATACATCTAAAACATTAATTTCAAACATTAAGTACATTGCTCATGGTCTGCTATAGTTCTATTATATTTGGTTTGAGATTGTTTACGTTAAGTTTTAGAAAAAATACATTAATTTTTAGCACTTGCCTATTTTATTATTTTAATTTAAGTTTTATTGCCTATGTTATCATGTTCAGCATGAGATTTTACAATTCAGATTCTTTAAGCTCATATTACACGCATTTTGTCTTTAGTTGTGTGGATTTCTTGCAACAATGAATGTTGCTTATATAGCTGCATGGTTTAGTGTAGTTTTTGCTAGGACAATATGAGGTATTAAGGGGCTCTTTACATTCGACTATATTAAGTTGTAAGCTCTCAAATAATAGTTTACTAAACGTAGTACCAAGAAGATATAAAACTGATAGGGCTTTCTACTTACATTGTTGTAGAAGTTTTCACAGCTAGACTGCTCATTGAAGGTTTAACATCTAAGCGGAATATTGCAAGACGGCACGTGGGGAATGACTGCTCACTTCTAGCGCTGTGAATGTAAAAATAAAGTGTCAGTTGTCATATATAGTAGTTTCGTCAATACCAAAAATAAAGCATACTCCTTCCTAAATAGATTTTTCATCATTATATAACAACTGAAGCTAGTTTTTTGTTAGTTCTATCCACTGCATAGATCGTCAAATCAAAATCAAAATATCTTTATTCACCATCCATACTTGATTAGTGTCAATATGTTATATTTGAAACATTTGTGATATAGGCTTAAAATATAATCACACAAAATTTATATTAACAATATCGAAATACCAAACAAAACTTAAGTTACAAAGTTTAGTTTTAAGCATTCGTGTTTTTCTTTACAATTTTTTTTCTTGCCAATTTAATAATTTTAAACTTTGTTAATGCGAATAAAGTGATTTTTTCATAGCCAATAATGCATTCACTAGTTATCTAGCCTAACAATAATGCGGAAATCATAGAATTACACATGGTAGAGAGATGGTTGTGTCTGCACTAGCAAACACAGACAGCACTCAAGAGTTAGACACAAAGAACGAGCTTTAAAGTTGCTTAATCTATGCATATACTAAGCTACAGCTCTAAAGACGAAATCTACACTCATTTCTAAGCATGATTTATTTATTTATTTTTCTTATTTTGCTAGCTTAACTTATGACAAAAAATGCGTATATGCAAGTTTTTCTAAAATAATCCTACATGCTTGCTAAGTTCATAATACCTAATGATTTTTCTTTCTGATAGATATTAATTCGTTTTTTAGTACGTTTTCTTTCAAAACATTGTAGTATAGAAGTGTTCATAATTTTTTCTATAGGGTATATAGGTTAAAAATCATTTATTAAGTAATAAAGACTAAACAGTGAACATATATATTTTAATAGATATTTAGTTAAAAAAAAAATATTTATTGACTTTTATTTATGTACCTACATCCCTAGTCACTAGGGTACTTTATATTTCATAGCTAGTTATTTAAACAAGGAAGAACCCTTAACCCTTGGCTAGCGTCATGATTTGTCCAGTAAGAACAATATTAAATGCGAACACACACTAGCGGATTATTTATTTCTTTTTACACAAACTAGTTCTTGGTGACATTTGAAATAGAATGCTTGTATTGATTTGAGAGAGGAATATTTCAAATTGTATATAGTATTGATTAAGTGTATATTCAACATATAATCATGCGATAGCCAGAGATTGTATAATTAATCTATATTAATCGTATTATTAGAAGTTTATTTAGTCATATTTATTTATTGAATATATAATTGGTTTTTAAAGATCAACGTATTTCTAATCAAACAGATTTTTAGACATCTTTTAATATTCTAGCTACATACTTCACTTCAGATTTCTAATTTAACGAGCATTACCACGTTTTACAACACTCAGATTTGACATTAAATAATTGTAAATAATTTTGTAAGTTTTGAGTCTAGCTATTTAACGTTGCTCTTATGGTAAGGAGAGCAAGGAGTTATAGGAAAAGCTTAAATCTAATGGTCTTTTTAAAATCCTAGCAACTATATTGCAAACTACGATATGTTTGTACTTACAACTATGGAGAAGATGTTCTGGCATCACACAAGCGTAGACGACTTCGACTGATGCACGTACTGCCCCAGACGCACAAACTGACCGAGGTGCACGAGTTACTCACAATGCAAGCTGGAGTCGAATACAACTTTGCAGTGCCAATGAGCTGCTTTTATACAGTTTGTGTAAGGTCAGTGATTGTGGGGAGCCAGGATTGCTTATAAGCGGCATAAGCGTACATGGCTGCACAGTTCTCTGCACGCAACCGAACAGGTATGTCTCGTGTGCTTATGCATTAACTGTGAGAATAATCTTACTTGTATGATCTTTTAGTTTGTATATGCTTATTTAGCTTACACTTTTCTACTACTACTATAGCTCCATAATTGTATTTTCTAAGAGTGCTAGTTGTATATTCTTATTTGTTGCTGTGCTGATATTTGTTTTGCGTTAATGCATAATGATGCATTACTCTCATACCCTCCACTTACTCAAGGTTTCCCCCCTTTGTCTGTCCCAATATGTGTTTTTCTCTACACTGCTGCATTTGCTATACTGTCTTGGTACTGCCTACATGTTATACTGACTAATATTTCTACTACTTGTTATATGAAACGGTATTCCTGACACATGATACAAGATAACATTGATTACAATATATCCATATGTTGTAGTGTAACAGTTTTGCTACACATTTAGCTATTTAGAGCTATTTGTAATATGTATATAGTTGCGCTACGATGGACTGCTATGTGTATGGTATTACACTCTACTAATCGATATATGCAGCGATATACTTGTTACAATCTGCAAACCTTACTTGTTATATTTGTATATTCTAAGTGCAACGGTTTTTCTATACATTTAGCTGTTATTACTAAGCTGTTAAACGTTTTATATGTATCTAGTTGCCCTCCGTTGCGCTAATATTTCTATGATATTACACCTTGCGTTATATGCTGTGACATACTTGTTTCACGCAGCAATCTTCAATTGTACTATTTATGCTGTAGTGCTCCAGTTGTTTATGCATTGTCTATTAATGCTAAGCTAGTTAACTCGATAAATTTTCATTATATCAGTACTCGGCCTATAATATGGCATACTATTAGTACGACTTTTAAAACAGGATATTTTTTTATAGATCATAATCATGGCCCTAGCAGCAAAACTCAACACCCTGGAGAAAGGACCATACCTCCCTAGGATCGACGTTTCGGCGCTTACTAACAAAGAGGGCTACTCCATTGTGGCAGGGAGGGCAGTAAACACCAAATACGGAGCGTCCATCGTCCTAGACATCCATGTGCCAGAAAAGAGTGCCGACTTCTGTATATTCTTACCGAAGCGGTTCAGCGAGGCGTTGAGTTCAGATGAACTGAAGGAAATCGCTGAGAGCAAGGCATATCGGGTTCAATACTTGGGGATGAGCGGGAACTCTCCGAATATAAAAATTTGGAAACAATAAATGTTTGATATTTGCTCACTGAATACGTATTTAGTTTATTCAGTCCTTTTTTAGTCTTAAGTACTATATGTAGATGTAGACATGTGTATTTTACGCAAGCGTTACTTAACTTAGTGTCAGCTCTCTAGGTCAGACAGGTTGCGCTGAGTTGCATTCATGACCTAGTGCGCCGAATTGAAAGTGAATTCACTTTCTACTGCAATCACTTGTACAGCCAGCCATGACATTCACCTCGCACTTATACTCGCAACAGCGGGCTGGTAATTACAGCTCTGCTGTAACCTCTACTTGTCTGCTAACCAATACTTACATTCTTCTTATATATACAGTGCTTAGTGCCTACAGTCTACACAAACTAACATACAGTTTTAACCTGCACAAGTCGTCGTCGCTCGCTCGAGGACAAATCGCCCCCCTGCCCACACTCGTATACTCATTCCCAACATCGCAGTCACTTTTATTCGCCGGAGAAAAAATCAGGCAACCCTATCTACTAACACTCCATGTAGCATCAAACCTAAGTACTCATTAAACCTAATGTTACTTAACTGGCGAATAAATCTGTAATTTATTTAACTTAAGAAAATATTTAGAATTAAAATCCTACCAGTCAAATAAAAGTGTGCGTAGTCTTCAGGTTTGCTGCGGAGAGGGTATTTTGTATTGAGTATGTGGTTTAAGGTGTTATGGCATTGTGAGGTAAATGAATCAACGCCTCTGCTGTCAATAAAAACAATGTCTGTAACTGAATATTCTTAAATTAACATCTACAACTTAGGAAAGGCTATTTTTCGAAAACATAGCTTCGAAAACATCTAAGATCCTCAGTCCGGATGTGGCTAACAATGATGTCATTGTCACAGCCAATGTGTACGTGTGACAGCTGATGGTAACAGCACCTCACCACAACGAGCCATCGCAGATCTTCGCGCGTCTAGGAACTCTGAGTCAGCACCAGCCAGGACTGTTCAGCTGATAAGAGGAAGACAACACTGCAACAGTGTACTCCATCCCACGCTCATTACGTAGTATTTCAGACTTCAGTATCTGTGATACTAGCTGTCCTAAACACATCAATACCCATGAAACCATTGGCCTTTCTCTTGATGGCTTGTATTTTGGTTAATCTTTTAATTAATTGTTAAAGAGGTCAGCGGCCTTTTGTAAACTTGCATTTGCCTGTCCAAGTGGGCTTCAGACCAGTGCGAGAAACGTTTCAAGAAAAGCAATGGGTGAACATTTACAGTATTAGAAATAACTGTACAAATTGAAACTGATACCACCGCCGTGTGAATCCAATACACTACTGTCTTGGTTCGCAATCCACAAACCAATACATGTAATGCCAGTAACGATTGGTAATTCATCTTAAAATTATTAATAGGTATGTTTTTTCATACAAGAAGAATTAGAGAGCAACTTAACAAATCAGGTCTTTTACAATAGAACTCCGGTTGACAAGACAAGTTAAATAGACTACGTTCAACCTTCACTCATCACAAGCTGAGTATAATGGCCTTAAATGCATCTCGTGCACTAGTTCCCTAGTGGTGAGTTCACCAGTGGAAGACCACTACCCGTTGAATGGCCGTTTCGTGTAAAAACCGTCATAACAAGCTTTTTGTTTTGCCTAGTCATAAAAAATGGTCTTAAAAGTAACTGTGGGGCATAAATGGAATCTAAGCTGTCATTGGTTCAAAAAGAAAGGCACCCTTTTGTATCACAAACAAAATCAAATGTTACAACCAGTTCATCTTCAAGCTTCCCACTATAAGTGTCTCACAAAAACATAGTTGGCTGTAATTTTTCATAGTTCTTAGATAATTGAAGAAAACTGCAATATATTACATTTAATTCTTAGTTAACGTCTAAAGGTACAATTCTGTAATCATTTTGAGATCAAAAGCCAAAGCAAACCTAATTTAAACAGCTGACCATTTACTGGATCACAA